CACCGTCGACCAGCCCAGGAGTGACCCCACCTACGCAGCTCGGCCCAGTTCTCCATCTCCTCACCTCCTGCGGTTGGTCAGACACCCGGTTATTACTCATCTACAGGACTACGTACTATTTCCCTCTGTGTTTTTGTCATTCCCTTGTTCACTGTATATAATAAATCACTGTATGCACCGAAGTCAGCTACCTGGGTCCGTCTCTTTCCTCGTTCGCACACTGACTGGTGCGAACGGCTCCTAACAGATGATGGAGCAGAAATTCATATTGGTGCTACATAAAAAAATGTTTTTCTTCAGATTTGCTGCTAAGCTTTGCATTTTTTTTTTTCTCATTGACTTACTAAAACGTTTACCTGTTCAGGCTTCATTATTTAAATAAAACCAGGAAAACCATTTACTGTAATCTACTTTTGTTGTTGGGTCACAAACATGACTGGTGTCTTCATTGTGGTCCAGTGTTATGTCAGTGTAAACACCCCCCCTACTGATAGTTACATCTACATTTCAACCCATTTACATTTTACCACTGGCAGATCCAGGGGTGGCCAGATGTGACATCAGCCACCCCCAGAATCTGGTTGGCCAGAGTCAAAAATGTGCTGCTTGTCAGTATTAATGAATGAAACATGAAGAACAGTGCTGCCTTAAATACAACTATCACATTTCTGGTGCTTTTTAATTGATATTGGGGGGGGACCACCATGCAGCAGCAGTGCAGTAAATAAGGAGCACAGTCAAAGTTAGCTAAAGAATGCATTGCATGTGCTGCAGCTTTACACAAAATAAACTATTTGATTCTTAATAATGTATTGTTTATTATTTCATGGAACTAGAGGTTTAATTTACTTAATGTTATGCAGTGTTACCAGTTCTTAATGAGCACCTCTGAATATTTTAAAGTCTCATAAGACCTCGTGAGCATTGTCATGCTTTTCTGCATTACACTTTTTCTGAATTGCTAAAACACGTTTCTTGAAACCACCACTCATTTTGTCAAAACCTTAAACACAAATCCAAATACTCAAACTAAATTCACAAAACCTCTGACTCGTCTGGCAAAATCAAGCAATTGCTTCAAAACCATGTCACCAGCACTCAAAATCAAACAATGCTTTCAGATCATACAGATCATACAGATCATATACAATCAAACAATGCTTTCAGATCATACAGAAGTGAGTCAATCATATACGCATTTATCCCACCACAGGCCAGTTCCATTGCCTGTAGCAGATTTTCCCTGGTATATGGGTTTCGGTCATAGACTTTCCACCGCCATGCAGAGCAAAAGTCTTCTGTTGGGTTGAGGACAGTGCTGTATGGTGGAGCCATGCAGAGAAAAACTCTTCTGTTGGGTTGAGGACAGTGCTGTATGGTGGAAGGTCTTACTCTTCCTCGTCCTTTTTGTCCAACACCTCATATTCCTCTACCTCTCATATTGTTATCCATAGTTGATGGATGTACCTGTGCCATCTGTACACTTTGAACTGGCTTATGATTTGTACCTTCTCATCACATAATTAGAAACAAGGGTGAACAATTTTGAATCGTTGTGTGTAAACGATGACAACTGTGCTTTAGTTGTGTTTAAGTTCTGCTGTCCTCTGTTTAGTGTTTTGCAACACAGGTTCATCACAGTGTGAATTGTGTTTTAGTGAGAATGTGTTTAGAGTTTAGCAAGAAGAGTGCATGAGATTTGCTAACAGAGTCTAAGTGCCTGAACTTGTTTAAGGTTTTGCAGAAAGAGTGATTTATTCGACAAATTGATTAAGGCTATTGATAATTTGGTTCAGAGAATGGGGTTTATTGTCTTAGCAATTGTGAAAAACTGAAAGGGAAAGCAGGAGGATGAAGAGAGAGAACAGGGAGAGAAGAATGTGGGTTACCGGCCTGGGTGTGGGAGAGCAGACTGCATTGAGCTGCAGCAGACCAGACACTAATGTGCAGATCCAGGGCTTGTAAAAACACCTCCGTACACACACACACGTACATCTGAACAGTACATACAGTGGACTACTCATAAGCAGTGTATTCAGGCATGTGAGTGTGTCTGTCGATAACCCGTCTACCCTCCAGTTTTGTGTTGACTACCAACATGCGACATCCTGTGGATCTTTCAGATCAAAATAAAAGCTTGATACTAGAGGAATCAAACCCTCAACCCTGACTGTGAATAATGCCTTGCTTTAGACTCTGAGCATTGCAGGAAGTCAGATAAATCACTGGATCCAGCCCTGTGGCTGGCAGTCATTTATCAGGCTGTGTGGTGACAGAGGATTTCAACAGCCTGTCAGTCTGTGGTTAACACCTGCTTTATAGCTGTGGTCACATCCTGCACACACACACAGGGATGACAGATGTAATGTATACATATGCACACACACACGCTCACACTCTCTCTTTCTATATGTGTAGAACTGGATTTAAAGTGATGTAAAGCAGGGGATTCTCACATTTGAGAAGCTGAAACCAGTGGCTATGTTTCAAATTTCCTCTGGCTTGAAATAAAAAAAAAAGTTTATTACTTTTCTGTCAATCAGCAAATCGATTAAACTTGTTACAATGTTAGTGACTGTAAAATGACCACTGTTTTACTGAAGATGCCACATGCACCAACAGTTGTAACACCAATATAAAGGAGGAGTCCATTTTGGATTGCAACTAGCAATCTTTTTTTTTTTCAATTAATCGATCAGTTTTTTTGATTATTAGGTTGGTTATGATAATCGATTCAGAGAGTAAGAAAGGGACAGAGAAAGTCAGGTTGGTGAATTCCCATTTACGTAGTGTGAAAGGTTCATCCCAAACATGCAGGTAATTGGATTGGTCATCAATTGAAGGAGGCATTTTGCTTGTCTTCACATGAGACACTTTCTCATTAGTTGGTTTAAACTCTGTTCCTGTGTAGTGACACTGTTTTGAAGCCACATGTTGTTGCCAAATGAATAACCTAGCTGCACTGATCGTGATCTATGAATCACTGGGCTGAAACATCTGCCATGTTCCTCTAATGCCACAGTTTCTGACCTGTTAAACAAAGTACATGGGATTAGCATTTTTCACTATTTTCTGACAAGTCATCGATTAATCAGAAAAATATGGGCAATAGCCTACCATGATAAGCATCAAAACAAACATGGAAAGGAACTAGGTTTTTCCAGACACAGAAGAATGTTGACTTGTGTGTGTCTGTCTCTGGTGAGCTCTCTGCCCCTCTGTCTTTCTCACAGCCTGACTGCCTGGCATGCGTGCAGTCGATGCCCATTCGGCCTTCACTGTGTCAACAGGCATGAGAAAAGTTCATCAGCAGCTTGGCACTCCTGCTCCTTCTCTCCATCCCTCCCTTCTTTGCTTTCTTTTAACCAGCTCCTCCATGGTGTTCTCATTCTTTCAAAAGGGAGGATCAGTCGAGTCAACTTATCATACGCTGAGAAAAACTGAAGCATCTTGGGAGATCATTTTGTTATGTTTTAGATGTTAAAAACAGCTTTATTTGATGTTGCCTTGTTCTTTGGTCCTCACTGGCCTTGCACCCAGTTTCTCACCATCAAACAAACCAGTAGGAAAATCAACACAGGAGTCTCCTTTCCTGTGGGAAGAAACACTGCCTGTAGCAGGCAGGGTTGTGATGTTGGACCGCCCTCTAGTGGTGCGAATAAGGCCATGCAAAAATCATGATGCTCAGTCTCCTCAGGAAGGTGCAGTCGTTGGTTGAGCAGCTGTTAGCTTTAGTTTTAACTCAGTTTAGCTTTATATCGAGAGAATGTTTCACAATATATGGAAAGTTACAAATTTGTCTCAGGAACAGGGGTTACTGTATGTGGTCACTGTGTCTACAGATCTTTGGGAGCTTTTTTGCTTTTATTTTTCATAGCATAAAGTGTAGTGGTGACTGGAAATTGAGGATGAGAGAGGAGGAGGATGCAACAGGAGTCCCCGGCTGGACTCACATAATTAGCGTCCTCAACCCCTCTAAACCATTTTTCTTATCATCTAAACCAATTCTCATCTTGTGATGTATTGATTTAATCTTACTGAGATTTTACTGATAAATGTTGGATAAATAAAACAATTGTTAATAACACACATGCTCATCCAACAGGCTTGTCATGGATGTGTGGGATCCAAATGTGACTGCAGTGGAGTAAAAGGAGAAAAGGTAGGCAAACGGACACTGTGGGGTAACACACAAAATGCGCAGCAGAACCTGTAAGCAACAAGATAAAACAATTACAGTGGTGCGGATTTGGATTTGATACACTAACCCCCACCTAAATTATTTATAACATGCTGTAATGTTGTTCTGCTGTTTACTTGCTTTGATTATGTGTATGTGTGAAAGTGTTTTATGTGTGTGTGAGAGAGAATGACCGGGATACGTGAATTCACCACAGCACTGTCTGTGTGTCGCTGTGTGCAGGGCGAGCGGGGTTTCCCGGGTCTCACTGGACAGCCAGGAGTCCCAGGGTTCCCTGGACCCGAAGGGCAGATTGGACCCAGAGGAGAGAAGGTGGGTTGGAGTCAATTTCCTCCAAGTTTAGCTGTGATTGGGAAACTGCCAAAGTAGGCTTGCTATGCTGGTGGCGCAGTGGTTAGCACTGTTGAGTCCCAGCAAGAAGGTCCCAGCTGATACAGGGGCCTTGCATGTTGTGCCTGCGTGGAGACTGGGTTGTTACAACATGCACAAAAAATGTTATTTTAAGTCATAAATGTGTTCACGGTTTAGTTTATGAAGTGGATTTCACATAATAGTGTCGCTCAGTCATAGAAAAAAAATTATGTTCCCAAGATTCTGAGAAAGCGCTTTGGGCAATGTTGGTATTTGACAGATATAAATTAATCACGATGAATCAACTCTAATCAAAATTAATGGAACTGAAATTGAATTGAATCCAGAGATCAGTATCAATACCCAGCCCCTAATATAATTTATGAGGTAAATGCAGCAGTGAAAGATAACATCTGAAGTTTTGCAACCACAGAACATTAAAAATTTATTGCCATTCTCTCTTAAATACTAAATTTAAGACAGGTTTTTATGGTTAACAAAAAAAAAAAAGAGCGGGAAGCAACAACTAACCATTCTTTTGATTATCAGTTACTCTGATTTTCTCAGTTATTCGATACATAACAGACTATAAACTATCTCTAGTTTCCAGTGACAGCTTCAAATGATGTTGTGTGCGGCCAACAGTCCAAAACCTAAAGATAGTCAGTTCACTATGATATAAAACAGAAAATCATAATATTTGAGAGGCTTTTTTAAGGCATTTTTGCATTTTTCAAACAAAAATGTTAAGCAGAAATGTAAAGAGTGCTCATGTGCCCAGAATATAACCTAATGTTGCATGGATATTTTGTTTGTGTGGACTGTATTGACACCAGTACTGACAACAAGACGTGTGGGTGGTGATGGCAGTATTATTTCTCAAGGTATTGATCTATACACTAGCATTAATGCTATAGTAGTGACAAAGTTTGGCCAAAGACGATTCACTTATCCAGCTAATAATGTTGTCCATCTGTTTGTGTTCTCTCCCTCAGGGTAGTGATGGACCTGTTGGACCATCTGGACCAAAAGGAATAAGAGTAAGTAGAGTAGAGAAACAGTAAGTTGTGTTCTTCTGTCCCTTCTCTTGTGAACAGCAGGTTTTTTTTTTACTTCACCTACATCTTATACTGAGAAAAAAAACTCTCTGTAACCAGGTATATATTATGTCTTGGTCCTTTTGCCTCATTTATATTATTTCTACAGCTTTTGAGAACACTACCTTTAGTTGGGGCTGACTTTCCCTTTTCTTTTGACACGTGACCTGTGTGAAAGTTTCTCGGTACTGAATGGTATTGGGTTGTGATGCCCTCTTTGACCATCAGATGTCGACATTTCAGCTTATCTCATATAGACTCGTGAAGAAACTACAAGATGGATTTTCTGTGTTTACCATGTCTTACAGGCTTTATACTTTACATGACTGACTTTTATTATTCTCTTCTAACAGGGGCCTTCTGGATTGCCAGGATTTCCAGGAACACCAGGACTTCCAGTGAGTTTTTCATCATCTGAAAACCTTATGAAATGACTCTCTTGCATTACTTTGCCCAAACTGGCATATTTGATGTAATTTCCTGTTTAATTTGTATTTCCCAGGGTCTGCCAGGGCAGGATGGAGCACCAGGCCCAAGAGGAGTGCCGGGCTGCAATGGGACGAAGGTATAATCTGATTAAAAAGGCAACAGATGACAGTAAAACTGAACTGAATACTGACTAAATGTAACTAAGTGTTCTGACAATACTATAAATAATGTTATTGCGCCTGCTTTTCCCACAGTACTCAGATATATCAGTTATTAGATACTGTAGTCCTGCCAGGGTAATACAGATCCAAAACTTTACAGTAAATTTGGACAGCTTTAAAAAGCTTTACTTTAGGCCGTCTTCATGCTTAAAAAATTAGGCATTGAATATTTTTGGCATATTTGAATTGTTCTCCAAAGCCTCTATAATGCCAGGAAATAAAGCATTAGGCTTTAGAAATATCTTAATTCCAAGTCCACTAACTAGCTCTTCTTTCTGTCAAACTACTGTTTCCAAAGTCAAGAATCAATTTGTCACAGCCAGCCTTTATTGGGTGTCTTCTGAATGTGCTTCTTGCTTCTTTTTTCTTCGTTCCAGGGTGAGAGGGGCTTTCCAGGAAGTTCAGGAATCCCTGGGCAACAAGGACTACAGGTGAGTCACTGAAGAGGAAGTCTGTTTGTCCTCAGACATTTTAAAACAATGATCATCAGCCGCTCTCATTCTGTTCCTTCAGGCTCATTTGTTTTTCTTCTTTCTAGGGTCCGCCTGGTCTGCCAGGTCAGAAGGTAAGTGTAATACTGAACAGTGAAGAGTCGCAGCGCTTAGTTTTTATATGTTGTGCACACATTCGTTTGTTTTACAGAAGAATAACAAGAAAACTCAACAGCTGTTACTAGCATCTTCTAACATCTTCTAAAGCCCTTAAGGACCAGTATTCGACCCACTGTTCTCACTTAGAACTGTATGGACAAGAACAAACTATGCTTCACTGACACCTTCCTCACTCTTTTGTTAGTTTTGTTGCACCTGTTAGAGTGAGACATCTTTCACCTTCATTACTTCACAGGCAGGTTTTGGTTAAGGGTCCATGATGAATTGAAGCCTTTTCTATTAAACTGTTCGGTTGAACCTTTGGTACTTTGCCAAGAGGTGGTTTCACTTTTTATAAATCTCCAAAATACACCCCTTCACCACAAATTTGTTGGACTTTGCTCACCTGTTTGTCAACTGTAAATAACATTTTTCTGCTGGTTGTGTTTCATTCTTCTGCAGGGAGACCAAGGTGAAGTGATCTCCAATGGTATTTTTGGACAGAAAGGAGCAATAGGATTGCCTGGATTGCCAGGAGTTCCTGTGAGTTGTCAATACAGAAAAACAATTTAATTTAAACCAATTAATTTGAACTTTATTTATGTAACATACAGTATATGTATTTATGTAAGTGATCTCCTGTTAGATAGTGCAGAATAAGATTTTTTTTCAACCTTAAAGCAACATAAAAAAAGACAAAAACTGTACATTAATGTTGCTTAACATTGTGGTCAAACATACATGAAGCTTTGTCATCTAATATGACTCACTACTCATATTTGGTCATTTACTGTCCATATGAATATATATGGAGCTGTAGACTTAACACAGAGCCTTACCAATAATAGTAAAAAGCAATATATGAATACTCATAAATCAGACTTACAGTCATGCTGTTAAATGCTCACCATGAATTACAAGCAAACTAAATAACATACACGTTTAAAAAAATGCTTTGAAAGAGCTCGGAACTCAAAATTTACATTTCAAATACTTGATCTAAGTTTTATTTTTGTGTTCATGACCAAAGGGTGATCCTGGACCCCCTGGTTTGCAAGGTCCACTAGGCCCCCCAGGACCCAGAGGTTATGAGGTAAAGGGGAGCTGCTGTTAAACACCATATCAGTGTATGCTCACCATTAAACTGAAGATGATGTGGTAAACTTTGATTGTTGCTGGTGTCATTGCCCAGGGTCGTCTGGGTCCTCCTGGTCCTCCAGGACCTAAGGTGAGTTCAAACACTGACAAGTCATTAGAGAAACGGATTTTTAATTGGTCAGATTTTGTTATTATGAAATTGAAAGAAGTAAATAAAGACAAGATGCGCTCACCTTTTTATCAGTCTTATCAGTTTCACATCCTCTTGAACATCAAAGACCTTAGGGGGGTCAACCTACCCTATATATTTAAAAAATAAAAATCTTTTTCTTCACAGGGAAACATGGGTTTGAACTTCCAAGGACCAAAAGGAGAAAAGGTACTGTCAAAGTCTGCCTGTCATTCTTCTCCACAATCTGTCTGCCTGTCAAGCTCTCTGGCTTTTCAATTCTTTTCTATGCTTTGTTGAAATTATTTCATTGGATGCATTTCTGGGTGGGAACACAGGGTGATACCGGTTTGCCAGGCCCTCCAGGTCCTCCAGGACAAGTTGGAGAACAGAGCAAGCCACCTGAGGATGAGATTCAGAGAGGAGAAAAGGTAATACTGTCAACCTGGAACTGGCCTGGCCCAAAGTAAAAAGAAGTATTATAGATTTTCATATCAGGCCATTATCGGCATCTGTAAAACTGGATAAATCTTAACTTACAAATATTGTTTTGGTCAGTTTCTCCAAAAACAGACATATTAAGGGTCTCATTCCAATAATAATTTTGTATAAGAGTTGTGTTTAAAGAAGTTGCAGGGTTCTCACCACTAGAGTGCAGCTTTAAGCTGGTTAAATTAGCTGATGCTGCAACTTTCACATCAGCCACTTGATGCTTGTAGTAATGTTTCCAATAACTCAACATTTTTTTTTTTTTTTTTTTACTAATATTGTTTACAATATTAGTAATACAGTATACTGTATCCATAAAGAGAAAATATCTTGAACATCACTTTCTAGGTCCCTCAATAAAAATGTAACCTTAAAAGCTCAGGCAGACTTTTTTTTGCCAGTAATATTGTTTACTTGAAACTTTGACCTTTGACGAATTTGTTTTGTGTGTTTTATCTCTAGGGTGAACCCGGACTTCCCGGACCTCCAGGTGATCGAGGCTATACAGGACCACCTGTGAGTATCCTATATGTAAACATCATTAAATGAACAAAAAAGAAAATGTATTGATCCATATAAAGGCTCTACATCAAAAGCATTCTAAGTTCACTGAGGAGTATGTGTTTTGCTGTGGTTGTAGGGTCCCTCTGGTGGCCAGAAAGGAGAGAAGGGTGAACCAGGAGAGCTTGGCAAACGAGTAAGTGCGGTTTACACATTAAAATGATTAACAGATGCACTCCTAAACTTCTTGTGAGGACCTTCATTGACATAATGCATTCCCCAGCCGCCAATCCAAACTCCTGCTATCATGCATGCCTAACCCTAAGGCTGCATTCAGAGTGAGTTTCAAAGGTGTGAAAAAACGCAGCTCTCACCATTCATTTCTATGGGGGATTACATTCACCGCAGCCGGCAGCAGCTCTGCAGGGGTTTCTGGCAAAATGACACAACCCTGTGCGGCGAAAAAGTTGGATCTGGTTCAACTTTCACTGCACTGGATGGTGACATCATCCAGCAAAGGTGCTGCATTGACCAATCATGTACAGAGGATGATTGGGATGTGGATGCCCATGGGAAGAGGACTCTTTTGTTTACTTTGTTAAGCATGAGCACGCACTGTTATTCACTGTTCAAGTTAGGGCCACGGTTGACACACCATAATGACACGTTGTGCATTTTTGTTAGTACTGGATGTTAAACTGTGTTTTTTTTTATCTATCAATGCTGACACACTGGTGGTAGAAAGGTATAGTAGGCTACATTAGCAACATGGCTAACCAAAACACAGTGGAACCTCCTGGGCTGCTACCGTGAATGAAGCCACTCACATCGACTCGTCACAAGGTGGCCATATCCTACACGCCTACAGCACTCCTCCTGCAACCCCTCAGCCCCCTACCAACACAGCCCGTTGCATTAAAACACAGAAAGGGGTTGCGTTTGAGGCCAAGCTGCAGGTCTATGTGAAAATGATTCTTACAAAGATAGAAGGACAAGAGCAGAAATGCATTTTTAATTCTTTTTATTGATGCTGTCCTTTGATCTTAAACATAAATCTTGATCACCGTTGTCTTCTCTTTGCAGGGTAAACCAGGCAAAGATGGTGACCCTGGTCCTCAAGGCTTTCCTGTGAGTTCTACCCACAAATGATACTTAATGTTGCAAAAATTACATCAGTCCCTGCTAAAACATTCTTATCTGCTTGTCTGACTTTTCTTTTCTGTTGCTTTCGCTTTTTCACAATCAGGGAATCAAAGGAGAATCAGGCTTGCCAGGTCCTCCGGGCAGGGATGGAGAGAGAGTAGGCTTGGTCCTAGTTTTTAAAAAAATGTAAAAAATTATATTCAACAAGTCATCAGGTGAAATGATTGTGTAATGATCTTTTTAGGGTCTAAAAGGAGATCGAGGATTCCCAGGTCCACCAGGACCGGTGTGTATTCTTTTTTTTTCTTTTTCACAAAATGGTTTTAATTCAAGGTCCACAATTAGCTTTATTCTGGAGCTTTCAGTAGCAACTCACACTTTTTAAAATCACAAAGCTTTTAAAGGATTAAGTTTTTTTGATGACAACTCCGTTTGTATATTAATAATGACCTGAGTGAGAAGAAAGGGGTGGCAACTCCATACATTTACATATGTGTGGCCATAAAAGAATATTCTACTTAAGTAAAGTAAAAAACAATTGGGGGAAATGTGGTAAAAAAAAAAAATTGGGGAAATGTAATGAAATCTACACAAAATGCTCCCAGTCCAATGCAACACTACTGCACTACATTCTTCTGATCACTGGATGGTGACATTTCACTCTGTGTATTTTTGAACCAGCGACTAATGAACCAAATTCTGTGATTGAAAATTGCTATTTGATTTTTTTTTCTGTTATATTAACATTTTAAATGTTAAAATGTTTAGGTCAGTAGAATTTAGAGCCTTTTGTCTAGTTTGGACTAATTTACTGACTGTGATCCTTTTCTTCTAAATGAATTTGATTTATTTTATCACTCAGGTGATTAGCAATGGGATTGGAGGGGTTGGTCCTAAAGGTGAGCCTGGATTTCCCGGAGCAGCTGGACGTAAAGGAGAGAGAGGGCCATCAGGTAAACACAAAACAAACTCACACAGACCCAAAACATTTACATACATTAGTTGCATTCAGGTTGTTTTGCAGTGCATGTAACACTAGCTAGCTAAAGACTTGTTTTTATCTTAAAAGGGTAGCAGGCTGGTCAATTAGCTTAATACTGCCTGGAAGCTAGTGTGCCTTCTTTGACATTAGAGGGTTACCCAACTTATGCTAACAAACTAATGATAAACAATTATGTGGTTCCGTCCAATAAGGTTTAAAGGCTTGGTCACTGTTCAACTAAATTTATCTGCAAAAAAGGATGTGATGTCATGCTTCTGATGCAGAATATAAATACATTTTGATTAGAGCCAAAGCTGAATAAAAACAGAGCATGAGAGCAACACTGCAATTTGTTGTCTGGTAGTCTGATAGTGCAGCAAATCTAGTCTTATTGACAGTTTCACTGGGGTGAAACAGCCACTTTTACAAAGCTTAAAAGAATTATTTATTTTACAGAAGTTTTTCAGGAAGCAGTATCCTTAAACTAACTATTAAGGCATTTTACTTTTGTTTGTTTGGTTTTTGATGAAGAATGTTGTCCTCCTGTCTTCATCAGGTTTGACAGGACCTCCTGGACCACAAGGACTTCCAGGCATTGGTAGTGTTGGTCAGCCTGGACCTCCAGGTTTGCCAGGAGAAAGAGGTCAGAAAGGTGACAACGGAGCTCCAGGGCTCTCTTTGCCAGGTCCCCCAGGACGTCAAGGGTCTCCTGGTGTCCAGGGTCCATCAGGGCCCCCTGGACCTCCAGGCTTTTCCACTGGAGGACAACCTTGCATCCCTGGAAATCCCGGGGATCCTGGTGCACCAGGAGAAAGAGGTGTCCCCGGTGAAATTGGCCGCAAAGGTGAGAGAATATAGGGATGATGCTTCTCATTTACATATCCCTGAGCTATGTATGTTACAAGTGATACAGCAGATACAGCATAACAGCTAGATTATGAGAAAATACTGTAGTGATTGTGTGAATGTACTGTAAATGAGCAATCAAAAAGAGACAGTCCCTTGACTAATAAAAATGTTTCACCTCAAAGGAAAAGCAAAAACAAGAATTAATATTTAGCAAGTTTACTGTCGGACTTAATAGTAAAATTATCAGTAAATGACAAAAAAATCCTGTGTGTGCACTACTATACAGAAAACACTGACATTAGTGTTCCGTTGCTGTTTTAGGTGAGAAGGGCGACACCTGTGTGAACTGCTTATACCCCGGACTCCCAGGACCTCCAGGACCGCCTGGATTCGATGGTAAGACATACACTGTATAATGTACTTCTCTTTCAGCTCAGGACTAGTCTCCAAAGAGTCAATATTAATGTGGAAAATCTTTATTCTTTGTATTTATATTTTCTGGATGCTTTTTGGTCTTTTAAACTATTTTTCAAATAATGTAAATACATATTGTCTTGTATTCTACTACTGTGTACCCTCCCATTATGTAGTGTATTAAGTATTAGGCCCTTTCCTCTCTTCCATTAGGATCTCCTGGCACCCCAGGTCTCAAAGGAGAGAGAGGTTTCCAAGGATCACCTGGTGCCGCTGGCCCCCCTGTGAGTAGTTTTTAACTTTATAATTCTTTAAAGAGCACATACCGTGTTGTCCTGCATCGTGTACTCCAGATGAAGAATTTTTACTATCACTAACTACTTTAAATAAACATAATTCCTTCTTTATTGTCTCATATATCAAGCATAACTGCCCCAGTGAAGCTTGTTTCACATACAGTATATTATGGTAAATGGTCTTATACTTGTATAGTGCTTTTCTATGCATTGCAGCCCACTCAAAGCATTTTAACACTATTTGGCCATTCACCCATTCGGGGTTCAGTGTCTTGCTCAAAGACACTTTGACATGTGGACTGGACAAGCCGGGAATCGAACCGCTAATCGTCCAGTTAGGAGACAACCTGCGCTACCTCCTGAGCCACAGCTGCCCCCAAATTATTAACTGTCTCTGTTTACAGAGTTTGTTTATCAGAAAGCACTGTTTGTAAAATCTGAAATATTTACAACTAATTAAATGGTTTTCTTCTAACATTCTTGATCCTTTCCTTTCCAGGGTCCCCCTGGTCTTCAAGGTTCTCCAGGATTCCCTGGAACAAAGGGAGACCCAGGTGAAACCATCACAGTCAACGGCCTAAAGGGAGAGAAGGGTGACACTGGCTTCCCTGGACCACCTGGTCTGCCCGGTCTGGATGGTAAACCTGGTCGTGACGGAGCACCTGGATCTCCTGGGCCCAAAGGCATACCTGTAAGTATCTTTCACTCAGTCTGTCAGTCGCTTACAGGGCTCAATCAGTCATAATGCATGTGTGTTTGTAATTATGCTCAAAAGGCTCCGCCGGTGAAAGGAGAAAGGGGGCCCTCCGGTGAACCAGGTGCCCAAGGTATTCCAGGGGACAGAGGTCCACCAGGTGCCCCTGGATTTGGACCTCAGGGGCCTCCAGGAGAGAAGGGTATCCAGGGCATTTCAGGAATACCAGGAGCTCCTGGTGAACCCGGTAAGAAGACAGTTTTAGTTTTATTCAGTGGTGATATGAAACTCCTGATTTCTTGCTTCCTTCCATATTGGGGCTAAGGGGCAGTACCTTGCTCAAAGCCACTTAGCAAAGGCACTTGGTGTTATTAGGATTTCAGGACATTAGGACAAACACGGGTTTTGTAGTTGTAAGAGACAACATACACAAGTTCTTTAATACAACCCCAAGTCAGAAAAAGTTGGGACAGTATGTAAAATCTAAATTAAAACTGAAAATAATGATTTGTAAATTATCTGTGGAAACAATAAAGCAGCACATAATTTTATATGATACCTCATCAGTTTTGTTCCTTTGTTCAAAATAAACACTCATTTCAATTCTGATGCCTGCAACACATTCCAAAAAAGTCAGGACAGTAAAGCATTTCAGGGACAGTAATGAGGTAAAACAATGAAATGATGATTCCATTTGAAACAGGTGATGTCAACAGGTGACTGCAATCGTGATTTGGTACAAAAGTGGCATCCAGGAAAGGCCAAACCCTTTAGGAGCAAAGATGGGCCGAGGACCGCCAGTTTTCCAACATATTCATGAGAAAATTATTGAAATGTTTAGAAGCAATGTTGCTCAAAGAAAGAAAGGAGGGGATTTGGATATGTCACCCTCTACTGTGCAAAACATAATTAAAAGAGTCAAAGAATCTGGAGGGATTTCAGTGCGTAAAGGGCACTGCATCAAGAACCATCACTCTTCTATGAGCAATACAGGCACAAGAATTACTTTGGCACACCTGTGTCAGGCACTACAATACGTAGTTACATCTATAGATGCTGCTTAAAACTCTGCCGTGTCAAAAGGAAGCTCTATGTCAACAGTTTACTGCTCTGGGCTCAGAGGCATCTGAGATGGACCATCACACAGTGGAAATGTGTATTGTGGTCAGATGAATCAGTGTTTCAGGTCTTTTTTGAAAGGAATGGACACCGTGTGCACCAGACCACAGACAAAGAGGACACTCCAGACTGTTGCCAGCAAGTCCAAAAGCCAGGGTCTGTCATGGTCTTGGGTTGGTCAGCACCCTTGGCAAAGGTCACTTAGACTTCTGTGATGGCTCAATTAATGCTGGAAAGTACATAGAGATTTTGGAGCAACATGTGCTGCCTTCAAGACGACATCTGTTTCAGGAACACCCGTGCATATTTCAACAAGACAATACAAAACCTTATACTGCACATTAAAAAGGCCTGGCTGTGGAGGAAGAGGGTGTGAGTGCTGGGCTGACCGGCCTGCAGTCCCAACCTGTCCCCAGTAGAGAATGTGTGGAGCATTTTGAAAGGCAAACAAAGACCCGGGACTGTTGCGCACCTTAAGACTTATTTGCAGGAAGAATGGGACTAAATGTCACCTGACACATTTTAATCACTTGGTGTCCTCAATCCTTAAACATCTTTTAAGTGTTGTGAAAAGGAACGGCAACATCACATGTGGCAAATGCTTTACTGTCCCAGATTGTTTTGGAATGTGGTGCAGCATCAGAATTGAAGTGAGTGTTTATTTTGAACAAAGAATACTATTGATGAAGTGTCACATAATAATAATAATAATAATAATAATAATAATAATAATAATAATAATATAATGTGCTGCTGTATTGTTTTCAGTGTAATACAGGACAGATGATTTACAAATCATTATTTTCAGTTTTAATTTTGATTTTATATGCTGTCCAACTTTTTCTGATTTGGGGTTGTACCTAAATTACTGCATGTCACAGAACAGTCTAACTTGTATCTGCCAGCCAACCAGTTAATGAAAATATGACCTTTATTATCATTATTTAAACTTACTTCCCAAATCTCTGACCTTTTGCTTGTCATTTCTTTCACTGTGTCCAGGTCCTAAAGGTGACCCCGGCCGGACGATGGGACTGAAAGGCTTACCAGGACCTAAAGGACAGGATGGTGACCCTGGACCACCTGGTATACCAGGTACACAATTATATTTTACATTAAAAGACAGTTTTCTATGCAGTACTATATTGTTGCCAAAATGTTATAAGGAAGCATTAGTTTAAAAAAAAGAACAACAGCAGACAGTCTACTAGAACATATTGTCCCATTGGTCTCATTGGATTTTTGTAATTTTCTGTTGTCAGGAAACCCAGGACCATCTGGACAGCCTGGTTTCCCTGGTTTACCAGGAGAGAAAGGTGAACCTGGATTCCCAGGCCTAGGACTTCCAGGACCTCCAGGAACTAAAGGTAAAGACACCACTGAACACCCTTCTGTCTTCTGCCTCTTATTCTGTCTGCCTTTCCCTCTGTCCCTCTATCTCTTCAACTTGTGTCTGCTGTCTCATCTTTCTTCATCTGTCCCCTCCACCATTTGACCTTCACATCCTCTTAGTGTCTTGCAGCCCTGCATGCTTCTTATATACCTTGTATCACATTTGCTGCCACCACCTTTTCTTTTTCCTGCTTTTGCCTCCTTATTACCTTTCATCCCACCCTCACCATCTGTTTTTTCTCATCTAGGATTCCCAGGTATCGCCGGCCAGCCAGGAGTTCCTGGAGGACCAGGCAGACCCGGAGTAGATGGACTTCCTGGTCAGCCTGGACTTGCTGGACCCAAGGTAGGGAGATAGATAAACAATCAGACAAAATACTGATTTGTTAGGAATGAAATTAAAATTTGGACTGTATAAAAATAATAATAAAAAAAAACAAGACATGGTTAAACTACAGAGGGAATGTGGAGGACATTACATTTTAATATGTATTAGTGCATTTTAATCTGTTTACTTTTTTGACAAATCCAGAAAGTTTTTCTGGGTATGGGTTATATCAGTTGCAAGGTACCTCATATACTGTACTGTTCTTTGAATGGCTCCTGTTTCCTGTGTGTGAGACAGGGTGAGCCTGGCTTTGGACTTCCTGGCCCACGTGGTTTACCGGGAGCACCTGGAGCTAAAGGTTTTCCCGGATCAAAGGGGGATCCTGGTTTCCCTGGCAGCCCTGGTCCACTGGGACGGCCTGGATTTGATGGTGCTACAGGACCCAAAGGTATTTTGCAGTTACCAGTGTGATGCGTCTCATGGGACATGTGCATGAAGATGTCAAAGCGCATCAAACCCACCTGACAGTATACCAATCTGGCAGTCACTTCCACTTTTCCCCTTCCAGGTGACCCTGGTAGACCTGGTACTCCTGGACTTCGTGGCCCACCTGGACCCTCCATTGATGGTGGGGTGGGACCTCCAGGCCTCCCTGGACTTCCTGGCCCGATGGGACCACCAGGTAAGATACATAAAGTTGGATTGCTTTATTTTTCCTGATTAGCTTTCTCACCATTGAAGCTGAAGTTTAATTTTGTGGATTTACAAGCACAGTCACTGTTTTGGGTGTACTGATGATCGAGGTGTGTATAAAGATTGAGTAAGTCTGCATATCTGTGTATTAATAGTGACCACACTAGGGAACATTTCTTCACAACTTGTCTTTGCTTTCATTTGAATGCCATCTCTTAAACCTTTGGTTTTGAGATGCCATCAGAAATGTCACCCTTCTTGCCCTCTTTTTCTTCAGATGTACACAACAACGCAAGCTAACTCCCACCCAACCAAAAGCTGTAATACTCTTGAGCATGCATTGGGAGCTGGACACATTCAGCGTAGTTACACAAATGTCACTGTGACAGTGCACATTCAGTTTGTTCCAAAGCTAGCTTCATATAGATGGATTAATGCACTTAATGCATTATACTTTCTTTTCCTCATCTTGGCTTAATCCAATGTGTCACCCTCTGTACTTCAAAACACATTACTTCCTCACCTGAGATACCCTCATGTCCTGTCTGCGTTTGCATCTGGAGTTCAAATGTTGTTCTTATATGAAAAACAATGAACTTTTGATATCATCATTACAGGAATCTCTGGATCAGACGGAGCGAAAGGAGACCCCGGCCCCCCAGGGCTAGACATCCCGGGTCTGCCAGGAGATCGAGGACGTCCAGGCTTCCCAGGTTCCCCAGGACTAGTTGGACCCCCAGGACCCCCTGGAGGTCCTGGACGAGATGGTCTGCCTGGCGTGCCGGGTAAAATATGATATTATTAAACTGCAGTTGTGACTTCATTGTCTGACTTGATAAATAACTGATCTGATCTCCTGACTGCTTAACTGTTAATTGACTAAGTGATTAATGACCTCTGTTTTAGTGAGCCGAAGTCCAGTTACCTTTAATTACCTTTTGTCCCACTAGCCTCAAACTGACAAGGTTTTGTTTATTGGTTTTAAACACCTGAACCCATAATACTCATATTTTTGTGAATATACACAAATAAGTCTTATGCTGCATTCATGTTTGTTGTTCCAATGTTAATTCTAAGCTAAGTGCATCAGCCTCCTAGCTGTTATTTGGATATATGGGAATTTCTGACAATCACAAAATGTATCACTTACCACAAAGTCCTACAGAACAATCTGTGGTAAAATGGCTAAAATTGTTGGAAGTCACAAATATAATAGGGTATTTCATCAATTCAACTAATTAAAAAGCCACACGTTATTTTACTTTTTAACAAATTGCTACAGAAATGTAACACACTAAAATCTTGGCCATTAATACAGTATGTTCTGTAGCTGTATGAATATCTGTGGGGTTATTGACAGAATATCAAATTCCCCATCATGCCATTCTTTGTTTCTACTCTAATTCCTCTTTGCTCCTCTCTAATGTCTGACTGGATGTAGGTCCGAAAGGAGACATGGGTCCCATGGGACCTCCAGGACCTTCTGGAGAGCCAGGACGTCTGGGAGAATCTGGTGCTCCAGGACTTAAAGGTATTCACATATACTCAAGCAGTCCATACTTCAAGGCATGCATAACACATAGTAGAGTCTGAGATCCTTGCAGATTAGTATTGTGTGTATATATTGTTTTAATTTAAATATATGCTATTTTGTTACTTATATTGTGCAAAACAAGACAAAGCCAACAGCAGTTCACAAAAGGTTTTACTAGTACATTACTGACAAAAAGTGAAGAGCAGAGAAACCTGAGTGTTAGACTATTATTTGATTCTCATGTTCTCCTCCCCAGGTGAACTTGGATTCCCAGGTAGAGACGGTACAGCTGGCGCTGCTGGGCCTAAAGGAGACAGGGGCGAACCTGGTGTCCAGGGACCCCCAGGAATCCCTCCGCCATTCCTAAAAGGAGACAAAGGAGATCCAGGACTGCAAGGTAGAGCTGAGAACACCTTCACTGTTCCTTCACAGGTTTTAACTTTAGGTCAGTCTCACTTCCTTTAACTGATCATTCCTCACTCCCCAATCCTCATTTGACATGGAAGCTGTACAGATGTACTATTTTGAAAGATGTCCCAAAGCACTTATTCCTGCCTGGGGAGTGAGGATTGAGGAGTGAGGAGGAGGCATAGAGGAGACATGAGCGAGAATACACGAGAGCATCAGTATTGGAAGTCCGACATGCCCCTTTATCTGAAATTAGGTGGTAATTGGATCTTTCAGATAAAGGATCCAGGGAAAGAACATCTCATTTCTCTAAAAACATGTTTCCCCAAATCCTTTTTATGGCTTACTTTCCTTGCATCTTACTCACTGACTTCAATCTTAAAATCATAGACAAGGGTGATAACAAAACAAAATGTATTTTAACAGTTAAGTAGGTTAGCATATTTCTAAAACATCACATATTAATAGAGGACTTGTATTTTTTGTGTTCAGGTGCACCAGGTTTTCCTGGTCAGAAAGGCTTCTCCGGAAGTCCTGGTGACCCCGGAGTGCCTGGATCAGATGGACGCCCTGGACTGCCTGGACCACCAGGTATGGGGTTACTTCCCAACACACACAGAATCATGCATATATAAATACACATACACTCATGCAAATAGATTTCTAATGGCTTTGTCTACATTGCAGGTCCTAAGGGAGATCAAGGCATTCCAGGAGGCCCAGGAGCTCCTGGAGCTTCAGGTCTAAAGGGCAATATGGGAGAAATGGGATTTCCAGGTAAGAATGAATGTCTCATAGTTCTTTTTAACAACTGTTTGTTTTCTAAACAGTTGTTAGTGAATCACTGATTTGCTGTTGCTAACTTTCATCCGAATTGAAGATGAAAATGTTTAAATGTGGGATTCACATTTTATGGAAAATAGGCATTAGGATGACATTTATTGATAATTTTACACATGACTGTGTTGTTTCAAATATGATAACATGGTCAGTTATGACATGTGCCATTGGTTGACCAAACCAATTTCTTGGTCATAAATGCTGTTGTCACACACGCACACATCATATCATAGGACCACCAGGGCAGAAGGGTCTACCAGGTCAGTCAGGATGGCCAGGATCCCCAGGACAACCAGGATCACCTGGTTTTCCTGGACCTAAAGGTGAACCGGGTTCTGGTGGAGTTGGAGATCCCGGACCACCTGGACTTAAGGTACAGAACAAAACAACTCAAATTTCTTAGTTAAAAAAAAAAACTTGAAAAACTTAATTTCTTTTACGTTTCTCATAGGGTGAGCCAGGCAAGTCAGGGATTCCAGGAAGTCCAGGACTCAAAGGAACTCCAGGCTCACCCGGTCTCCCAGGTTTACCAGGAGGGCCAGGTTCCAAAGGTGACCCTGGCCTCCCAGGTTTCCAAGGTAAATATGAAACATGACAGCAGATTTAGGAAAGACCATCAGAAATCATAAAAGCAGTGAAGTACACAAACAGTATGCTGTTTTCTTTATATACTTTTAAATAAATGTGCAAATAATGTTGATATAAAATTCTTATGTGTTGTTTTCTGTATAAAGATGTATCATACAACATCCAGTGGCAGTGTGTGACAAAAACAGCCAGTCTGCTTGGTCTTATTGTTTTAATACAGTATACAATTTAATCAGCCTTTGTGACCTTAAATCCTGCACGTTATGGAGAGTTTTAGATGATGTGTGAAGTGTGTGTTTTTGACTAACAAGACTGTTATTTCAGGTCAGTTTGGACGTCTGCACTAGACAATTTAATATGACCCAAGCAGTTAGAGAACCAGACATTTTCAGTAGTGGTGAACTTACAGCATGTTGATAAGGTGCTGGCTGATGTTGTGTCCATCTTTTAAATTTATTCTCCTGTCAGGTGCTCCCGGTGTTCCTGGTCCTAAAGGTCTCGATGGTAGTCCCGGTGTCCCAGGTCCCTCTGGAGCTCCCGGCAGACCAGGAGAACTCGGCCGATCAGGACCACCAGGGCTGCCAGGAGAGAAGGGTCAAGCAGGCCGGGATGGGATCCCAGGACCAGCTGGAGTTAAAGGAGAGCCAGGTAAGACACTTGTCATCTTGTCCAGAAGAAATAGATTTACTTTGTATTCAAAGATTACTTTTGATATGATGCATCTCACTTCTGATTCATTTCTTCTCCAGGGCTTCCTGGTTTTGGTGGTCCTGGTCCTCCTGGGCCACCAGGGCTGCAAGGTGAGGTATAACCTTCAGCATGTGCACAAACAATATTTTTATTTTTGTCTCTGTACAATAGGTTCTACTTTGTCTGTCATTATTTAAGGTTCTAAGGGAGACCCAGGTTTTCCTGGGCCACCTGGCGGTCCTGGATTCCCCGGCAGTAAAGGAGAAGCTGGCTTCCCTGGCAACCCCGGTTCTCCAGGCAACATGGGCCCTCCTGGGCCTCCAGGACCGTCCCTGCCAGGTCCTAAAGGCCTCCAAGGATCCCCTGGCCCACCTGGAAGAGCAGGTAAAGTACTTTCATATATTACTTGTCACCTTGTGTATTGCCTGAAACTGCTGCCTGGTTTTCGGAAGCTGGTGGAGTCACAGTTTGTTTCACTCTACCTATAGTTTCTTGTGTAGCACATTCCAAGTAATATTAGGTGGGAGCAATCACAGACATTTTCCAGTTCTGACTTTAAGTTAACATCATTTTACCATAATACAATAAATTCACTTGGTAATGTACACCAAGTACATCACAACACATCACAATGTGTATACAGTGTGTCACTTAAAATTAATCATACAGCTTGCCTTGTTGGTGCAAGAATACACCAGTGAGGTACCAAACTTAACTGATTTAACTGATTCAGCCATCATATTCTGAAGAGTCCAAGCAGTAGAAGTAATAAACATGGGCCATGGAAAGGTTAATTTGGTATTTCTGACTGAGTGTTGAATCTCCTAGACATTTCAAAATACTGTCTGCTAACATGACCAGTTTCTATAATGTAAGTTAAAGTATTGTCTGCGATAGGTCACCTATTGCAAGACGTTTTCAGTGCAATAATGAACTAAAACCAGTGGCCGCTTGGAAGATTTGAAATAAATAAAACCACCAGAATAATCCTGTGGATACAGTTTTGAATTAACAGCAGAAATAATACAGATGTAAAGTAAAGAAGAGAGAGTACTGATGAATGGTGTATCTCATGTCCTCTCCACCTTCTGCTCCTAGCCAACGAAAACCAGGCAACAAATGGCAGTGACTGCACTTTAAATGTGAAGGCTTTTATCTCCATGTCAGTTTGATTTGCATGGGGACGCTGTCACACCAATCGCCACCACCAGTGTATGAGCCTCGTCACTGCTTGAGCTCCAACACACCTGTCCAGTCATTGTCAAGAACACTGAGCACAAATGAAAAAAGTTTGTGATGCTGCGCACACACACACTCCCCCCCAACAAATCCCTTCTCACCAGTCACTGTGGGTCACTGGGGGTTTTTATCTGAGCCTCCGCAAAGAGCATGGCCACATTTTTGTCCACGTCATCATCCATACTTTTTCTTTTATCCACCAGTCCATCTGTCCTCATGTTTCCTCACCCCCTTACCCCTTTCTACTAATCCCACAGAGGGGGAAACTATAATCTATCCATCTTTCCACAGCCCTGAAGTACTGTGTATGTGTGAGATCGTATTCTCTTCCCATTGTAACCACCGTGTGTCCAGTCTTGGTGGTTGCGTCAGATCATTTTGAAGAAATGTCTGTGTGAAACAGCCAAGCCTGAAATAAACTCCAGAAACTCTCAACTGCATCTTAAAGGATACGTCTGGAACAGTCTCATACAGTCTCACAGCAAATCACATGAAATGGCCACAACCATTATTCTGTCAGTCTATTCTCAGTACTTGAAGACTTGCATACCCTGCCTGTTCTCATCTGTCTTAAAACAGATGTAGAAATATATCAGGCTTTGGTAGCATGGACAGTACTTGTCATGGGATTTGTTGACAGTAAGAAAAATATGGAATATGACTAGCCTTATCCTGTAGAAATTGAGTTTTTGTTTATTGGGATTCAGCATTCACTTCCAAATGTGTTAATTACAATAAACAAAACTGTTTATTGTTAAGGGCAATAGAAGTGGCATTGATATGACTAGTTGTTTTTTTTTTTCAATCCCCTACTAAAACCATAAACAACGATGAACTCAGGGCCTAGTTGAGGGTATTGTAGGTTTGTGTCTGGCTTTGCTGTCCTGACCTTGTATTGTCCAACCAGTCAGTCATCTGCATGGCCACTGTTGTCCCATTACACACACACAGAGTTAAATGTGCACATTGAGAAAAAGCCTAATACAGTGCTGAAAAATGTGGACAACCCTGATACACACCCCAGGAAAATGTACTAAATTAATATTTTCCATGAGTCAACTTGAACACTTGACACTATAGGTAGTAAGTGTGTCGTGCTTTATTGTGTCCTTTTCAAAAGTAAATGTCAGCAGTGACCACAAGCAGCACTGTATCAGGCTAGGAAACACTTCCCTCAAACATTTTTCTGGGTATCATGGTGACAAAATGATGCTATGATATTTTTTACTCCTTTTCCTCTGACTTGGTCCCACCCACTGTGGTGTGGCCTTTCCTCTTGGCGTGATGACACATGCATCTGGCTGTCGCAGGTCCCTCAGGTCAGATCAACGGCGTCTAGATTTCTCCTGCACGATCCTTAAAAAAAAATCACTGACTGAGTTTAACCTCACTCTGTGATCTGCTGGGAACAAATCTCACCTGAAAACTGTTGAGAAATCACTTATTTTTGGCCCTTCATTTCTTCTTAGTGATTGTCTTGTTCTCTTTTCATGCACACTGATGGTAATATCATGCACGTTTAACAAGTAAGCACCTTTTTAAAAAAATTTCAGTAGTTATTAGGCACAGTGAGCATGTTACCTATACCACATGGAGGTACTGTCAAATACAAATCTAACATGTAGAATGTGTTATGCATATGGAATGATACCGTTTGTACACAAAAACACACCATATAACTAACTCACCTGAAACATTAATCATAGTTTTTACATATTGTAATTCTGGTTCTGTTGGATATTACTGAAATAGCTTGTATACAAGCATGACATCTTTTTAAGAATATTATAATGTAAACACAAAGGTTTTGTTATAGCAACCAGCACTATCTCTGGAAATGTCCTCCCTAGCGCACTGTTAAGAGTCTCTGTAGACCCCCCTGGGGGTCACATGGTCAGAAAAGAGATTGCAGCCATGCTAGCAGTACTCTGTGGGCATAGGAGTGCTTGGAGCAAAATGCTATCATGATAAATGCAACATGCTAATGACAGCATTAACATGCTTAGCATGTTTAGCAGGTGTAATGTTTACCACGTTTTCTATCTCAGTTTGGCTTGTTAGCATGTTCACAGTTTATAATTAACAATAAGCACAAATTTCAGTTCCAGCTGATGGGAATGACATGTTTTTCATGTGTTAAGCCACAAATGAAAGTATATGACAGTGTATAAATCTGACCTGATGATGGCCCTGTACAAAATGTTAAGGGCATACCAAAGTTGCTCCAATTCATCCTCAAGGAAATATGAACATCCATACCAAATTCCATTTTAAGCCATACAAAACATTTTTTTCATACCTCACATTTCGACACCATTGATATATGTGTACAAAATTGCGGTCACTTCTTAAACTGCTAGCCCAGGATGCCCCAGTGCACACAAGTTATTCATTTTTCTGCCATGTGGCTGCCATAGACTCCAAACATAAGCTTTGAGCTTGAGCTTTGTTACACCAAAGTCAGGGAATGCACATTTAATAAATGAATATTATTCATACTCAAGCAGCAGCAGCTGTTTTTTAAGGATAATTGCATTTATACCAGCTCCTCACCAGTGAATTAATATAAATCATTTATAAACTAAACAAAAAACAGCAGTGCGCAGTGAAGCTTTTCAAATCTAGTCATTTGTTTGGTAGTTTATGCTTTTTTTTTTGGCTACTTAAAGAAAAAATGTATCAGTTGTTGTTTAATCTTAGTGTATTTCTGCACTGATACTTGTCTCTATGTAAACCTCTTCTTCTTTTTTGCCTCATGCCACCAACCCGGCTCCACTTTACCCGGGAATTATGGGAACCATAGGTCCTCCAGGTTAGAGTCCAGTGATTTGATGGTTTTGATACATGTGGTCTGTGCTTTTTGATGGGATATGTGCTGAAAATGTTGGGCGACATTTAGAGCAGTTTTAAATGTCTTGTGCAGGGTTGGGGTGAGTTCATTTCAAACATTGTCAGTTCAAGATATGAGTGTAAAACTGAAATTTACACATATTTCATGTCATAATAATGTGAGACAGAGCTTTTGTAAAGTTGTGGAATTTCAGAAGCATACACTTAATGTTGTAAAGATGTACTCATCCCAGGCCATCTGTAATAACTCATTGTTTAATAATGTGGTATCTCAGTGTGAGAGTGCACGAAAATGTTGATGCTTAAAATCATGTCAGCAGTTGTGTATTGACCCTATTTTTACCCCACAGCACAGGCTGGACAGCTCCTGGTCATGATCAAAGAGACACATACATAGAAGAAATCCTGAACATATGCATATACTGTCTATAATCCAGTAGATTTTCTGTTGTGCATGATCCTTTTTAAATGAAGAGTTTTATTCCAGTGTTGTCCAACCACTTGGCATCAAACACTGTTTCTGTTTCTACTGCTTCTTCTTTTCCATCCCTGGCAGATTGAACTTTGGACTAAAAATTACAAATAAAATCACATTTATAATGCCTAAATTAAGAACTCAACCTAGCTAGGAGCATTATGTTCATTAGCTATGTACCATCTTTTATCGGAATAGCAAATGGAAACATGTATGTTCATCATTAAATTGCTGTTGTTTTTTTTTATTATAATGTGCCTGACCTTTGGCATGTGCACATGAAGGTCCACCTGGTCCGGAGGGCCCGCGTGGCCCCCCAGGAAGCGGTGGCGTGAAAGGAGAGAAGGGTATTCCTGGCGCTTCTGGCCAGCCAGGCTTCCAAGGACAGAAGGGAGAGGCTGGTGTTCCAGGATTCCCAGTAAGATGATTTTGCTAAATTTGGATTTACTTGAACTGAAAGGGTCTAAGAAAAGCAGACATCAAGAATTTGTACCTTAAACTACTTTGGGAAGAGAATCAAAGGGGTTAAATATGAGAGCTGAGCTTTAACTGAACATCTTTCTTACCAGGGTCCATCCGGTGCTGCTGGTGCCAACGGTTTAAAGGGAGAAATGGGTCTGCCTGGTGCTCCTGGATTCCCTGGTTAGTCTGTGATAATGTGACAGTGTTTTGTCATTCCAGAAATTTATTTTTAGCCTATGTGTTCATCGTAAGCAAAGCCCAAAGATTTAATTTTGACTCTATTTTTGCCAGGGCCAAAGGGAGACCTAGGACCCCCCGGTTTTAATGGTCCTCCTGGAAACCCTGGAGACCCTGGAATGCCAGGTGTGTGAACACATTTACATTTTCAGTTACAGCAAATGGTGAGCTGAGCTACAGTACAGGAAGAAACACAGGACCATGATTTGCTGCAGCATCAGAAATCGCTAGTTTCAACACAACACAAATTCAACAGAAGACACAGAGATATGTGTTTGAAATCAGTTTCAATTTCTTATGTACTGTATTTCAAACTGATTGATTTTCTCTGTTACACTTGACCTTTAGGCCCTCCAGGTGACCCTGCTATGCCTCCAACACCCATCGATGTGAAGGGAGACCGAGGACCTCCCGGTCCCCGAGGCCAGCCTGGTGTGCGGGGCCCACCTGGTGCTCCTGGACGCGATGGACTCCCAGGTTAGTGAATCTTGATGCTTTAGTGGGACCTGAGGAAGATTATGGGACATTTGCAAGTGTTTCAGTTACAGCTGAGAAAATATAATTTAAAATTGTAAATACAGTTTTTTTAATGACTGAGGTGACATCAGCCATCCTCTCTGCTGTAGTCTGCTAAGGTAGTGACATCACAGTGGCAGACAGAAAGAGGCTGGACACACTGATAAGGAACACCAGCTCTGTCCTGGGGTGCTCTCAGGCCTCAGTAGGAGTGGTGGAAGAGAGGAAAATGAAAGTGTGGGCCATCATGTGCCATGAGTAGCACCTTCAGCGACAGGCTGCTCCACCAGTGGTGTGTGAAGGAGTGCTACCACGGGTCCTTTGTCACTACTGCTATCAGACTACACAGTCGACATCACTGCTCTTACAAATACAAATAACTCAGTAACTACACTGTAAAATGTGATACAGGAATTTAGTGGAATCCACTAAGCTTCGAAAGTCAGACCACTTTGGAACTTGTGTTACATGCATTTTTGAGCAACTAGTTTAATAATTAAAAAGTAATTTTTGGTCTCATCACTGAATAGACCTAAACACTATTTATTTTGTGACTTCAGGTATTTTATTACGTGATGAGTCTGGTGAGATCTCCAAATTGTGTGCTTGTAAAAATGGTGGAAGGCTCCTTTAAAGTGATCCCAGCATCAGTTTTTGCCTGCTCACTTCTAATGAAGGAGTACTCTGCTATCTCGCTGCTCTCAGGTGAGCCAGGTGACCCCGGGGATCCTGGTTTGGAGGGTTCTCCTGGCTTCAGTGGCCAACCCGGCAGGAAGGGAGACAGTGGACGCCCCGGTGATCGTGGTAAGGAAATCATCTAGCACAGCCTTAGACCTACCGCACCTTACCTTGCTCAGTCTAGCATCCCTGGCAGTTTTTTTTTTACCAATAAGCCAAAAAAAGAGCAGAAGCAGTTGTTTTTATGTGGTGACATAAAGCTTATTTTGCAGCATCACGTTTTCATCTAGTCTAAAATTGGCCTAATAATTAATAAAACTATAAACATAACGGAACTTGGTTATTAAATTTGCTTTTCAACAGCGTTTTAGAGAAATGGAATGAGCTCTCTGATTCTTAATCCTATACTCTAGCCCAGTGGCTTCCTGTTTCTAATATACGCCCCTACCTTTTCCAGGTGATCGTGGCTATCCTGGTCCCCCTGGTCCTGACGGTCCTCAGGGTCCTCCTGGCCCACCAGGATCCCACTCTGCAGCCCACGGGTTCCTCATCACCCGACATAGCCAGATTCAGGAAGTGCCTATCTGTCCCGATGGAACTAATCTCATCTATGAGGGGTACTCCCTGCTGTACGTGCAAGGCAATGAGAGGGCGCACGGACAGGACCTTGGTAAGAAGGACCTGTGTTTGTTACAATCTTATTTTATAACAAACATTCTATATATTTCACCTCTTCCTGTGTCTTCTCTTCTAGGCACAGCTGGCAGCTGTCTACGCAGGTTCAGCACTATGCCCTTTATGTTCTGCAACATTAACAACGTCTGCAACTTCGCCTCTCGTAATGACTACTCCTACTGGCTGTCCACACCTGAGCCCATGCCCATGTCTATGGCTCCCATCACTGGAGAGGGCATCAAGCCATATATTAGCAGGTAGGGAAGGATAGAGGGAAGAATGAGAAGCAGAGGTGTAATGAAACTGGATGTGGGAAGATATGTGATGCTTACACTTACGTTTCTGTGTCTGTAGGTGCGCAGTGTGTGAAGCTCCAGCCATGGTGATTGCAGTCCACAGTCAGACCATCCAAATTCCTACTTGTCCTTTGGAGTGGGATGCTCTGTGGATAGGATACTCCTTCATGATGGTAGGACATAACACATAGTCTACACACAGATTTGTACTCACAGCTGTTTGCAAATTGTATTGCTTTGTAGATATCAAAAGGAATCTGTGAAAGTGTACACAAATCTGTAAATGTGAATGAGATTTGTACGTCTGCAAAAGAAGCTGTAAAAATGTGCAGTTAAAACCTTCACCTCAGACGTGCCCCTTAGCTGGCTTCTGTCTTTTTACATGACTTCTACTACACCCCTGCCCTGCCAGAGATCTATAAATGTGTGGGTTGATCTGCCTTCTCTAATGCAGAAAACTGTGAAGATGTTGTTCAAAATAAAAGGCCCTTCACGTTCAGTTTTTCAGTGCACATTATTATTCACATTTACAGGTGTGTGTACACACTGACAGATTCCTTTACACATTCACAGTATACAGATTGAGATGCACTTTCACAACTCTCCACACACACTTACACATTTAATATTGCCATAATAATAACCCTATGCCCCCCCATATGCAATACATAACCTGTGTTTCCTTTTCTCCCCAGCACACCAGCGCAGGTGCGGAGGGCTCCGGCCAGGCCCTGGCTTCCCCTGGCTCCTGCCTGGAGGAGTTCCGCAGTGCTCCCTTCATAGAGTGCCATGGCAGGGGGACGTGCAACTACTATGGAAACTCCTACAGTTTCTGGCTGGCCACTGTAGAGCCTAGTGAGATGTTCAGGTAAGGATACATGTGCTGGCATAAGGTCACAGGCCAAGTTCCTACAACAGCCAGCCTGATTACTCATGAAGAAGCAATGTAGAAGGGATGAAGAAAGATATTACATAAGACAGAGAAGGTTTACATGACCTTCTACTTGCACTTGATTAAGATAAGATCATTAAGTGAATGTGAAGTCAATCCTCAGGCATTACAGCTAACAACACATGGTACATTTAAGAAGTAATGCAACCTCTGGTAATGCTGTTATTGTAAGTCACCACACTGACATACAATCAGCAACTTCATTAGGTACACCTGTACAATTGCATGCACTTCAGCACTTTCGCCAAAATATTGACCGGGTTTATTTCTCTCTCCCGATTGAGCAGCCAGGGTAAAATTAAAATAAATAAGGCTATATAGGTTTCAAATAGATCAGATCTCTGTTTCTGTGCATGAGTTGTGTCAGTATATATTAAAAATACATACAGTGAGGAAATTAAGCACATGGATTTAAAACACTCCTACTTTAATTTTTAAAAGGAGCCTAAAGGATTGGTAAAAAAAACAACAACAACAACCTCTTTTTAAAAAAATAAAATAAAATCCCTTTCTTACCCACCTTTATGCTTGGGCCTATTCAGGAAGCCCCAATCGGAGACTCTCAAGGCAGGTAACCTACGGACACGAGTCAGCCGTTGTGTGGTCTGCATGAAGAATATAGGGAGGACGTAGCAGCACATGGCAACGAGCACACCCACCGTTGCCAGGGATACCCAGTCAATAAGAAGACGCGATTGGCTGAAGGGGGACAAGCAGGGAAGAGAGGTGGTTACTGTGACTGTGATGACGAGGTGGAGTTCTTATGGTGCATTGTCTTCCGGGAAAACGAAAACTACAACAATGGTGCTACTGTGCAACACAGCTTAAAAAAAAGAAAAAAACTGACGTAAATAAATCTTACATTTAGCTGTTTTTTCTTAAGAAGTACCTCAAAATGAAAGCAGAAAAATATCCACTAAATGGTGCCATGATGGATGTGTGACAACAAAAGTGCGTTTGTCATTCATTGTTTCCTTTCTCTTTTTTTAATAATCATTTCTGACGTTGGTGCAACAAAAATGTGATACTGTACATCCATTTCTAGAGAGAAACGCTCTTCGCTTGTTTGTTTTGTTTCTTTCATTTTGTTTTTGGCCTTATTGATAAGGAGTGGATATTTACCAAATCGGCACTTTGACTTCAGAACATCCAAGATGAGAGATGCACTGACGATGAGCTCAGTGAGACTGACTGCCTTTTATATTGCTAGCTCCTTTTCACACACTCTGTCATTTTAAGTTTCACCTGGTGGTACTAACCCTGTTGTAGCCCACCTGCCTAGCCATCAGCCTACAGCTTTCTCTTTTTTGTAAGTAATAAAATGTGTATATTGTGTAAAACACCTTTTTGTTTTTAGTGTATGAGGTCCTGATTCAGTGCCAGCTGTTTGTTATAAGACCATTTTCCAGGTTCTTTTTAGCTCGCACACTCATGAGTTCTAATAAATATATATTTAAAAAAAGAGGAAAAAAGTATATAGAGTTTATTTGGCTGTGGGGAGATTGTTCACTGTTTTCAACCACAAAGTGTCCTGCATTTCATTGAGAAACACAGCTAACTACTGAGCACAGACAGAGCCATTTCTCCTAAAGTAAACCAGGCTTGTGTGTTATTTAAATATGTCAATCACTTAAACCCTTTGTAGAATTACAAATGTTGAATTGAAATAAAGGAGATTTGCTTTTAGGTAGTTCAGTGATTGAGGAATCTTATAGATATTTGTGCAAAAAAGGATGTGAATTAGGTCTTGACTCCTTAATTAGAATTGTATTGTTAACATTTCCAGGGCTTTGCTGTAAAAACAAGGCCTGAGGTTTCAGGGGCCCCGTTTGCACCCAGAACCTTCAAATCTACGTTGGCTGACTTGTATCCAGAGTTGGTTAGTGTTCACACTCAACCCCTTTGAAATTCAGGTTGAAGTGTTTGTACATTTAAATCGGGTGTAATCGTCCCTGATGTGATTCATGTCTCACATCAGGATACAGACTCCTGATATGAGACAAGTCTGCAGAAGATGTAGTAGAGGAGAAGAAATATTTTCCTGTGATTTTAATGTTATTTTTATTTTTTCAAAACTGTTTTATGAATTCAAATTTTGTCAAACTGGGGTGCGATTAAAAATGTGTATTAATGGTTTTTCGTTTATTGTTGTGTTTTCATGCTATGTTATCCAGAAGTTGTTATAAACTTTTAAGACTGAAATAAATACTATGTACAAAGTGCTTTGAAAATGTATGGTACTTAGTAGCACAACGAGAGAATAGAACATCCTCCAGTGGAAAAGTAACATGTTTTAGCTTTTTTTTTTTTTTTTTTTTTTAAATTTTTTCCAATATATTTAGGGGAAAAGAGTTCAAATTACAGCCTGCAATTATGGATGTCACTGTGATTGACATATTTGAAATATCTTGACTGTCGGCCCATCCAGAGGGTGGCCAGGGGTGGCACTGGCTGCCCCCCCAGTGCCACCCCCTGCTAGAGTCAACAGTATTAATGAACAGAAAATTAAATACAGTAACAATCGGTTGCCTTAAATACAACTTATCTGGTGCTTTACAATTGATATTGTTCAAAGTCTTTAGAATTAAAATTGACAGAATATTATATCATGCATGCAGCAAATTATTTGCATTTATTTTTCTAGTTGAGTTGTTGAGGAGTACTTGGCATGAATCACCTCGGTACAGGGGGGCACTATGTGGCAGTGATGTCTCCATCCAGGACTAAATAAAGAGCGCAGCCAAAATTAGCCCCCCCAAAAAGCACTAAATGTATCTAATTTTTACAGAAACCATTGGATTCTTAATATCATATGGTCTACTATTTAATAGAACTAGAGGTTCAATTTACTTTTTACGTGGATTTCAAATGTGCCATCACTCTGAAGCTGTGCCCTAGGCCTGGACACCCCACCCGTTATCAACATGATTTTTGGTGTAAAAGTGTGGCCATGTATTGCATTTTTACTTTTATTTTTTTTAACATACTTCTGCATTTTACAATAACTAATTTGTCAAACAGCCCATTTGTCTGTCAACAAATCATGAATTTAAAAAATTTTAAAAAACCCAATCTAATCATATTTTCTAACTCAAAGCCACAAAATACGGTATATCCATCCATTATGTATACCGCTTATTCCTGAATAGGGTCGTGGGGGGCTGGGGTCGGGAGCCTACCCCAGCTGACACTGGGCGAGAGGCGGGGTTCACCCTGGACAGGTCGCCAGTCTATCACAGGGTGCCACTAAACATATCAATTCTACAATTACTTCAAAATTGTATTGTGCAATAGATGTCTCCATAGAGGTCCCTTTCCACACTTTCCCTTCCTGCCTCAGGTTCACTTGATCGTTAAATGTCTAAAAAACATTTGGACTGTATGACAAGAGCATCAAATGTTATCGACTATTCATTAAATGCAGAACGAATAGTCCAACTTTAACACTAAGTGTGACATAGACTTATTGGCCACTATTAGGTACACGTGCAATAGTAGGCACTTCAATGCAACACTTCTGTCTTAGCATCTGTTTATGAAGCTCAAAATGTTGGTGAAATTGTCAAATGTATACATTGTTTATTATTGAGGCCATACTTAAAGATGGTGTTGTACTGGTGTTCCTAATAATCACATGTCCTCTCTGCTGAGTTTTTGGTTCATAAACAAAAGCTGTGGGCTGCTGGGAGGAGACGGTGTCCACATTGTCAGTCAGTTATTTGTGTCAGTCACTGTTTTTTCATTAAAAACGGATTTGCTGTTGCAACATTAGCTGTTTCCATCTTGGCCAGTGGTGTCTGTCTTTTTGCCACATGTTGGTAAAACTGAATAGGCCTGTTTGGGTGGATAAAACAGTCCAGAGAATATCTCAGTAGTGAGACTATTGGTGTGTAGATGCTTCAACAAATTATGAAAATAGATTTATTCTAAATAAATCAGTCTTTATATAGACTTAAATAAATATTAGTTTAGTAGTTTGATGATTGTTTCTCATGATTTTCCAGCTTGATGCACTAGAGGGCATTAGGGCATAAGCACATAGTCATATTTCTACTCTGTTTAAATGTTTCAACATAAGCTTGTCATCTATTATAGCGCAGCAACTAATTATACTCATTATCAATTAATATGCCAGCTATTTTTTTAATTAATAGATTAACTGTGATCTAAAAAGCCTCTTTTGTGATGATCAGTGGCCCAAAACTGTAAGAAGTTTGTCATTGTTTAGTTTATCATGAAAGTCTAAGAAAACCACCAAATATTAACATATGAGGAGCTGAAACTAGTGAAAGATTTTCTTGGCATTTTTTGCTTACAAAATGAATTAATTACTCAACAAAGCAGCTTAATTAATTTCCTGTCAGTCAGTTCCCCGTCATATACATGTTTTCACTGGGTAAAGCACAGGGATGATGCCAACTGAAGCTGCCTTTATTCAGTTTCAGAAGTATAGCTTAATGCAATGGACACAAACTGACAGCAAAGGTCTTGGCCTCCTCTAAAGAGTTTTCTTATGTCCATCCACAGGAGTCAGTACTGTTTGAGTCAAAAAAGATCATTGGTAATATTCAAAAACTTAATTTAGTCCCTACGCATACCACAGTCCATTCCTTTTGTCTCTTGTGCAGTACATGGATTGCTGTGTGTGCACTGCAGTGCACCATTTACATCATGCATGACATGCATATTGCGTGCATCGTGGGTTATGAACCCTGACCACTGTGCCTCAGCTTTTATTTTGCTTTGACATTAGAACAACAAATAATTTCTTTTCACATAATGGTCAATTTAAATTAATCCAAATATAGGAGTTTGTTAAACATGTGAAACTCAGACTTGAGCAGATACAGTTCAGTAATTTTCTACAATGAGAATGACTGGCCGGGGGTGGCACTGGCTGCCCCCCCAGTGCCACCCCCTGCTAGAGTCAACAGTATTAATGAACAGAAAATTAAATACAGTAACAATCGGTTGCCTTAAATACAACTTATCTGGTGCTTTACAATTGATATTGTTCAAAGTCTTTAGAATTAAAATTGACAGAATATTATATCATGCATGCAGCAAATTATTTGCATTTATTTTTCTAGTTGAGTTGTTGAGGAGTACTTGGCATGAATCACCTCGGTACAGGGGGGCACTATGTGGCAGTGATGTCTCCATCCAGGACTAAATAAAGAGCACAGCCAAAATTAGCCCCCCAAAAAAGCACTAAATGTATCTCATTTTTACAGAAACCATTGGATTCTTAATATCATATGGTCTACTATTTAATAGAACTAGAGGTTCAATTTACTTTTTACGTGGATTTCAAATGTGCCATCACTCTGAAGCTGTGCCCTAGGCCTGGACACCCCACCCGTTATCAACATGATTTTTGGTGTAAAAGTGTGGCCATGTATTGCATTTTTACTTTTATTTTTTTTAACATACTTCTGCATTTTACAATAACTAATTTGTCAAACAGCCCATTTGTCTGTCAACAAATCATGAATTTAAAAAATTTTAAAAAACCCAATCTAATCATATTTTCTAACTCAAAGCCACAAAATACGGTATATCCATCCATTATGTATACCGCTTATTCCTGAATAGGGTCGTGGGGGGCTGGAGCCTATCCCAGCTGACACTGGGCGAGAGGCGGGGTTCACCCTGGACAGGTCGCCAGTCTATCACAGGGTGCCCCTAAACATATCAATTCTACAATTACTTCAAAATTGTATTGTGCAATAGATGTCTCCATAGAGGTCCCTTTCCACACTTTCCCTTCCTGCCTCAGGTTCACTTGATCATTAAATGTCTAAAAAACATTTGGACTGTATGACAAGAGCATCAAATGTTATCGACTATTCATTAAATGCAGAACGAATAGTCCAACTTTAACACTAAGTGTGACATAGACTTATTGGCCACTATTAGGTACACGTGCAATAGTAGGCACTTCAATGCAACACTTCTGTCTTAGCATCTGTTTATGAAGCTCAAAATGTTGGTGAAATTGTCAAATGTATACATTGTTTATTATTGAGGCCATACTTAAAGATGGTGTTGTACTGGTGTTCCTAATAATCACATGTCCTCTCTGCTGAGTTTTTGGTTCATAAACAAAAGCTGTGGGCTGCTGGGAGGAGACGGTGTCCACATTGTCAGTCAGTTATTTGTGTCAGTCACTGTTTTTTCATTAAAAACGGATTTGCTGTTGCAACATTAGCTGTTTCCATCTTGGCCAGTGGTGTCTGTCTTTTTGCCACATGTTGGTAAAACTGAATAGGCCTGTTTGGGTGGATAAAACAGTCCAGAGAATATCTCAGTAGTGAGACTATTGGTGTGTAGATGCTTCAACAAATTATGAAAATAGATTTATTCTAAATAAATCAGTCTTTATATAGACTTAAATAAATATTAGTTTAGTAGTTTGATGATTGTTTCTCAT